TATAGTAATTAGTCAGACAAACACAAAAGGGAAAAATGCTTCAGATGGCAATAGACTGGCGTGTTGATGTGATTTGCGTAAAAAAGATATAGAAAGACTTTTGTTTTTCTTTCGGTCTTGTCCCGCACTTTATATGATGGTCTGTCGCAAAAATTGGGACATATCTCATTTGAAAGAGCATTTAATTCTGAGTAAGAATGTGTCATTTAAAATATGTTAGAACATCCGCATGGAGTTCTGGAGAGATCCGACATTTGGGGATTGTATAGATTCCAAGACGCAATTCATACCTAATTATCTCAGAAATGACAGAAGTGACAAACCTGAACGCTTTAAGATATAGATTAGAGATAACAAGAAATAAAATGGCTCATTTAAAATTATTTCAAAATGCTTCATTGCTCTACTGCACTTGTTCTAAGATGGTGAAAATCATGAAAATCCGCCGTATTGAAACGCGTTTTTCACTATCAAACTCTAAACTCAAAAGTAATATGTGTATAAGATTCCTCATCGTTAGTTCTATCTAGAAATGTAGTTTTTAACCGTTCACATTGCTCCTGTAAGTCAGTGGAAAGCCATCTTTCACAAGCATTACGGCACTTATTTGATTTTGGATGGTCGCCCAAGCTACTTTTAACTACGTTTTTCCCATTTTTGTTGACCCCGACGCACATTTTCGGAATCTACAAGTTTTGAAACATATAAATCAACTAAGGTCCTAATACCTCATCTCTGGTATTTGAGATATAGGTCTTTGAAATTTCGAGTTTTACAGAAGACCTACCCACTGCAGTGTACATCGAAAAAATCTTTTAATCATACCATTAGACAGACCTCTATAAATTTCTCTATAAAATGAGATATTTCCCACGTTTACATTACTTAGCCAGATGAAGCAGTCGATTACTAGCAGTCGCCCGATTGCTAGATTTCTCCTCAGTTGCTACTATCGATTTACTGCTCCATAATCGATTGATTTCACTATTGCTAGTTGCACATGAAGACACATCTAGTTAAAAGTCCCTGTGATTTGTCTAAATTAATAATGGCCACGGTCATTTTTTTAAAACGTTTTAACGAAACAAGATGAAGAGCTGCTTCCAGCGTCTTGTAGCCAGGACATGACAGCATCTCTGTATGTAAAAATCAATTCTATCAATGAGGTCTACCTCGGTGTACTTGATAGATGCTTAGCTAAACCGATTGCTAGATCTCCACTGTCATTATCAAATACTTGCAGTCCAGTAAAATCTAGTAATCTAAATGAATCCGACTATACTAAATTATTTTTATGCTTATAGAATCATCCGTCAGTGCTTGAACATCTCGATCTAATACAGAGCTTTTCTCAAAATGAAAAATTTTGGCACTTTTCCGGTATTTTCAGTGTTTCCGATTTTTCCCAATAAAGAAAGGTTTCTCGAGGTTCGAAGGTGATATTCTTAATCAGCATCGTCTGGCGATTCAGAATATGTATAATATATCCAAAAATAAATTTCATTTTAAATTTGCATTACGTGCATCTTACAATTATCACAAGAACATTTGAAAGTTTTGGCTAAAGGACTAAAATTCGTTCCGCTGTCCAAATCAATCAATATATTAGAAGTAATAGCGAACACAGAAAAATCCTTATTCTCTGCACTATCCATTATTAAACAAGCAACTATATCAGAAATAACCACTTTTATCCAAAAATGAAGAAAATCCTCCAATAATAATAATATGACCAAAGAAGAAACAAAATTATTTGATGAAGTAAAAAGAATGAAAGAAATTGTGATTGGTCAAGTGGACAAGGGTGGCAGGGTTGTTATTATGGATAGAGAGGAATATATAGGGAAATTGAAGAAAAATTAAATGATGAATCGATGTATGAACAAACTAAAGATCCTACAAACAAGATTAAAAAGAAGATTAATGAAATAGCAAAAAAATTATTCACTCAAAATAGAATAGAACAATCAGAAAAGTTTGAATTAACATTAACTGATGATCCTCCAATAATCAGGGGCTTACCAAAACTTCATAAGATAAATCACCCTATGAGAATAGTGACTTGCACAAAGAACACCATCACATCACCAATGTCAAAATTTGCTTTCTCTCTAATCAAACAATTGAGAGAGACGGTGGAAGGAGTGGTATCAGATACGTCGGAATTGTTAAAACAACATATCAAATGTTAATATAGATAAAAATGAAAAAAATTAGCAAGTCTAGACATTGAAGATCTTTTCAGTAACTTACCAGTCAATACAAAACTATGCAAGGCCCAGATCTTCATCTCCTTTGGTTCCGGAGATACAGACATTTTCCGAGGACACACCTAACCCGTTGCAGACATGTCTGGGAATCTCAGAACCATGTGGATCATAGGTAATCGACTACGATCTTTTGGCGGATCTCTGGAAAACGTACCATTGAACCAAAGCTCAGATCAAATCTTTTCAACTCGATTAGAAATATTGTAGATCATAGAATATTGTAGATTGTAGAAATATTTATGTCCAAAAGAAGAATGAACTGCTATTTTTTCAATAACTTTTGATAGAAAGCACCTAGAGAGCTTCACATGCAAAACACGTAACTCTGATACCAGAATCTCTGTGCATTACCGTTTTTTCTCTTTTCGTCTATCCCATAATATTCGGAAAGAATATTGTAGAGTCCTTGCGTCTTGTCTTGTAGAATGAAGTCCGTTCTTCAAAAAAACGGTAACGCACAGAGATTCCGGTAGCAGAGTTACGCGTTTTGCTTTGTTCAGTTTTCGGCATTCGGAAGAAGAGACTTGGAGGCATAATTCTATAAGCAAAGAAAAAGATTTAAAAAACTAGAGAAAACCAAGTTTTACAAAACCTACGATTTCCACTCTCTTTTCCTAAAATATTAAAAAATTCAACATTAACTCAAAAAACCGAAGAACGAGTTGGAAACATCAGGATGTACAGTACTTAGACTATTTTATATTTTATTTATAATAAATCTACAAAAAGTAATTTACAAAACCGTATGGTGTTTTTCGCAAAATTTTCCGAAAAATCCTCGAACCAAAACATGATTTCTCAATTTTTTCGATCATATGATCACGTTTAATGGACAAAACTAAACATATCCTGATGTACTATTAAGAAAACAAGAGATACAGAATTTTCCAATGTTTGAAAAAAACTTGTGGATACTTTTTTTTTCTCAACAATGAAAAGTTTTCAAATGCTTAAAACTTGGATTTATAGGTAAATTTGAATGGAGAATTCGAAAGTCGAATTAAAAAGAAAATTATTTTTCGATTTTTGTCGAAGCGCTCATCGTGTGTATTGTTCTCATATTTAATCACTCGTGAACAAAATCGTAAAAGACCTTTCAACCATAGGTTAATCTAAAGGAAACCTACTACCATTAGACTCACCTTCGGCGGAAGTGATGAGACCTACATCATCTTGTGCAGTTATGAAATAAAGGTGCAAACCAATCTAAAATTGGAACTAGATCATCGAGTAGACTAAACATTCCTCCGTAAAATGAAAAGTGGCTGGACTCTGAACGTTGATCTGTTATGAAAATACAGCTGTTGTAGAAACAGCCGAAAAGATCGATTTCAGGGCTCTCTGGAGGACGTGTCTAAAAGAATGAAGACGAGCTGGCTAAAATTGAGCAAGTATACCAGTTTACAGGAACTTATGTGCTCTACTAAATGTGATAACTTTTCAAGTTCGAAGCCGCTGTAATTAATCTGCATTAATCAAAGAAAAACCAGAACAACGGTAACGTTAACAAAAAACGCAAAAAAGGTTCTACAAACTGGCATACTTGCTGGATTTTAGCCATTTCGTCTTCACTCTGTTAGACACGTTCTTCAGACAGCCCTCAAATCGATCTTTTGGACTGTTTCTACAATAGTTGTACTTTCATAACAGCTCAACGTTCAGAACCCAGCCACTTTTCATTTTACAGAGGAATGTTTAGCAAGGGGGAGAAAACTGATTTGAATCAATCCAAATCTTTCAAATCAAAGCTGATTTGAATCTCTAAAATCTCTTCAAATCTTTTGAAATCTTTAAAATCCTCAAATCAGTTTTCTCCCCCTTGATATTTACTCTACTCATTTATCTAGTTACAATTTTAGATTAGGCTGTAGCTTTATTGCAATAACTCTTTGAAAAACTCATATTCACTTAATTTTAAATCTTGGTAGACTTCCTGTTTATCAATAACAAAAGCTCTGAGTTGAGCACTATAGTCCAAAACAGTTCATTTTCGTATAATAATGGTGTTTTTATTACGGATGAGAAATATGTTTTTCAATCGCGCTTGAGTTTTCTTGTTAGTGGCATAAAATGTTGCTAATAACTGTTCTTCACTTTTTACTGGAAAACATCAGTTCTTTTTGTTCAAAAGAAGAGAAAGGTTATACTGACTAATGCAAACAAGTTTCACACTTATAGCCCAGTTTTTGCAAAAACTAAGTATCAAAAAACTGATTTTGAAATGCTAATAATAAAGTTTTAGAGTAAAAAAAATATAACGTCTGTTATTATCAGTAGACAAGAACAAGTATTTCCTTTCAACCAGCACCATCCCGATAGCTCAGTTCATAAACCTTAACACCGTTAGAATGCCTCGAAGCGCCTACTGTTCATAAACTTTCGACAACGCTTATTAGTGGGCCAAAAGTAAAACAAAAGCTTTTTTCGCTGTGATGAAGCAAATCAGTTGATATTAAATGATTTGTTACTAACTTAATAATGTAAACTCAAGTTCAGACTGGTATGAGCTTTGCACATTAAACCCAAATGTCTTCTATAGTTTTTATAAAAATTTCGTTACGGTTTGAAGTTTTCCTTTGTTTACAAAGAAGCTTGTTTACATACAACAAAAAAGAGTAAAATAAGATCTTAATATAGGCACATAATAAAAACTGTCAGGTAAGGATAATGGTCTAGAGTGCTGTGTCTGTAAAGTATTCAGATAAAAGAAAGTCAGCAAAAGAATATACTCTAGCCGTATGTTCGTTTTAACTGAACGGATGCATCTTGTGTTTGTGATCCCTTCGTTGTTGTTAACATTTGATTATCACTGAAACGACCACACAGTAAATATTTCATTAATAGCTTCTTTACTTGTTTACGGTAAACGACCGAGGATATGATATAAACATAGAATGACGACGAATAATTCAGATACCATGGTATGTAAACTATTTGTCCAAAAAAATTCTCCCACATTAATTGAGACGGACCTTTTTGATTATTTAATGTGATGCCGACGTAAATATTTCTTATCATAGCAGGAAATGTTGATATAACAATCAACACTATTTGTAACATGATCATTGATGATATTTGCGCATCCCGACGCTCTCTTGAAGATGATGGAGCAATTTGTTGACGCATATTTTTGTACGTGAGTAAACCGAAGATGGATGTGATTAGTATGGGAGCTAAGCCGTAAAGTATAGGGGCTAGTACGTACGATGTGTAATTAGTGTATTCAGGACGATTATAAGTGCAGACTGAACTTGCGTTGAAATTGTAGAATATGAGAGCAGGGATATTTTCAAGCATCCAAAATGCAATGACTATTGGTATGACGAATTTGGCAATTTTCAATGAACTGTATGCTCTTAAGTTAGCATTACGGCAAGATAATAAATATCTGTCTACCACTGCTATGCACACCAATGTTGGAGATGTAATGGCTAACACGAGACCATAATAAATTCGAAATTTACACCAACTCGTTGATAACCTCGAATAATCCACTTGAAAACCAACTGGTAAAACACGATTAATCAAAAATGATTGTAAATATAAAAGATTGACAACACATGATGCGCCCAAATACCATGACGACGGTGAGGACCTTAGCGTTCTTCTGCCAAACATAATGATATTTATACAGTTACCAAAACATCCACTGCTATAAATCAAAACACCCGCGTATATTGTTAATTGTTGAGTTATCACATCCAGTATTGCTGCTGTTGAAGATGACGACATTTTGTGTTTGGTTTGAAGTGATGTTCTTTTTAAAAGAATACTACTACTATCTGAAACGTTTCTGTGCATCAAATCATTACTTTCCTTTTCTTTGATGCTGACTTTGACATGCAATTAGAAGAAAAACTCAGCGTCACTCTACTCATCTATTGATTATGTAATTATAAATGAAAGACGTGAAAATGTAAAAACCGTACACAACTTCTGTAATAGTGCTTGGTGTTATTAAGGACTCAGCCCGGGTAGATCCGATCTCAACCAAACCTTCAGGGAATGTTGACCATATCAAAGAGCGCCACAAGAAGGGCCAGAAATAGGCGTCTATCACGTGCAAGAATTTTCATTCCACGTAAATGACAGAGAGCTCAGACTGTTTTTGTTTTCCAGTAAACATCTTCGGCTATGCGTTGACACAGCCCGGTTTTTGAATTTCTTACTTACTGAGTTCTGATGTTTAATAGTAGTTTAAAGTTTGAAAAATCCTTCGACGGTTTTTCAGAAATCCTTATTTCTATAAGAAATGGAAGCATAATTTAAAAATCGTACTCTGTGAGCTTCTAGCTATCAGTATTATCTACAAATCAAAATCTCAATCAGTCAATTCGCTTGGTTTTATACCTTAAGTGCGTTTTACCAAAAAACGATTACTGTAGTGTTCTAAATTCACACATATCCTGAGTAGTTCAACGTTGAGCAAGTCGATTTAATACCAGAAATATTTGTCTGTAAAACCATTACTTTCTTTTCTAGTGCTGCTGACTTTGACATGCAATTAGAAGAAGAAATCGACGTTACCCTACTCATCTTATGATTATGGGATTATGAATGACAGACATAAAAATGTAAAAATCGTACACAACTTCTGGTGATACATGG